GGTTTTTCTCTCATGGATGGTCTCGGTCTCCCTGATGATGGCTCTATTCGATCTTCTGAACGGACCGTTACCGAGACCTCCCCTGTGCCCACCAAGAACAGCCTCTCATCGGCTCATCACTTTGTCTCTTTGAAACTGACCTTGGTTTCATTGATGGTAGTATACACGTTACATGTGGTATTATCCGATGTGTGCTAAATATGAGTTATATGACATATTTGATAAGTTTCACTCACTGGTTGAACGTTCCTTTTCTCGCAACATTATTTCTTTTCAATCTAATTTAGGGGGAGAATATAAAAAGCCTGGTTCCACTCTTTCTTCTCTGGGTATTCGTCACATGCAATCATGTGCGTATACTCACGAGCAGAATGGTCGGGTGGAACGCATGCATCGTTATGCATGTTGTTAAGACAGGACTGTCTTTGATGGCTCAGGCATCTGTTCCTTCTCGCTTTTGGGACTATGCGTTTGAGACTTCTGTTTATCTTATAAATAAAATGCCTACTCGTGTTTTGTCTGATAAGTCTCCGCATTTTCGTTTGCACCGTTCTCCCCCTTCCTACTCTTACTTGCGGGTGTTTGGTTGTTTGTGCTTTCCTGTCCTTCGTCCATATAATCGCAATAAACTCCAGTTTCGTTCGTCTCCCTGTGTTTTTCTAGGTTATCCTCCGTCTTATTGCGGCTATCGCTATTTGGACACTAACACTAACAAGGTTTTTATTTGTCGCCACGTGCGATTCGATGAGACTGTGTTTCCCTTTGTTTCTCTTGTTGCCTCGCAGGTTACTAGACCATGTTCCGAACCTTGGGCTACTGCACCGATTGTGACGTGCCGAGGTGGTAGTGTCTCGGCCACGGCTGTTGATGACGCTCGACAGTCTGATGAGCCCGTCTCGGCTTCTAGCGATGGTGACGATAATAGTCCCGAGCAGTCCTCATCAAGTGAGCGAACTGTCTCAGACCAGCAGGTTAAGCAGCACGGCAGGCCGCGCGGACGTCCTCGGCGAGTCACTCCTCCTCCTCGTTCGCATGCTATGAACACTCGTAGCTCGGGTTCGCATCAACATGTTGCCTTAACCACTATTTCTACTATAGTGCCTGAGCCCATCTGTTACACTCAGGCGGTCAAGTTTCCTGAGTGGCGTGATGCGATGGACGTGAAGTTCAATGCCTTGGTCCATAATCATACGTGGCGTCTTGTTCCGTTTCACCCAGGTATGAATTTTGTTGGTTGCAAGTGGGTTTTCAGAACCAAACGGAAGGCGGCCGATGGTTCAATAGAACGTCATAAAGCTAGGTTGGTGGCCAAGGGTTTTAATCAGGTTGCTGGAGAGGACTTTTTTTAGACCTTTAGTCTTGTGGTTAAGCCCACTACGGTACGCCTTCTCTTATCTTTAGTCGTATCTCATGGGTGGACTATTCATCAATTGGATATTCACAACGCCTTTTTAAATGGCGAGCTAGCTGAGACTGTTTATATGCGACAGCCGCCTGGTTATGAGGACAAGTCATTAACTGATCATGTGTGTTTGCTTCAAAAATCTCTATACGGGCTCAAACAGGCTCCGAGTGCTTGGTTCACAAGATTGCATGATTTTCTTGTCTTTAAGGACTTCTCGCCTTCAAAGACAGATGTGTTTCTTTTTATCTATTCTCGTGACAATATTCGTCTTTATTTCTTGGTGTATGTTGATGACATTTTGATTATGGGTTCTGACTCAGATCGTGTTACTGCTCTTATTGATAAATTAACCCTTGAGTTTAAGGTTCGTGATATGGGTGTGCCTTCTTTCTTTTTGGGTATTGAAACTGTCCCGTTATCTGGCGATATGCTTTTATCACAACAACAGTACATGAAGGATATTTTCAAACGTGCTGGCATGGTGGACTGCAAGCCAATAGTCACGCCCGTCTCTTCTACGAAAATCACCGACGAAGTCGCCGTTCCCTATGCCGATCTTACACAGTACAGGAGTCTTGCAGGTGCTCTCCAGTATCTTACGGTAACTCGTCCTGATTTATTTTATGTTGTTAATCTCTTGTGTCAACACATGCATGCGTCCACTACTACGAACTAGGCCTCTCTGAAAACAGTCCTGCGGTATGTCAAGGGCACCCTGAATCTTGCTCTGCGGATTTATCGGTCTACATCTACGGATATTCACGCCTATTCTGACTCAGATTGGGCTGGCGATCCAAATAATCGCAAGTCTACTAGTGGCTTTGTTGTGTTCTTGGGCAATAAATCTTATATCTTGGGTATGTCGGAAGCAACGGACTGTGGCACGTTCTTCAACTGAAGCAGAATACAAGGGGCTAGCTGATGTATATGCAGAGGTTACATGGCTTGTTTCCCTGTTAAACGAAATCAGCATCCCTCCTGCGTCTCCTCCTCGACTATAGTGTGATAATTTGGGAGCTACTTACTTATGTGCCAATCCAGTGTTTCATGTCCGCACGAAGCACATTGAGATTGACTATCATTTTGTTCGCGATAAAGTTGCTAAAAAGGAGTTAGAGGTGCACTGTATTTCAACCAAGGATCAACTAGCGGATATCTTTACAAAGTCTCTTTCGTCTCTTCGTTTTAGTTCTCTCCGTGACAAGCTCAATGTTTTGGCTAGCCAACCTTGTGCTTGAGGGGGAGTATTAGGACTATATTATTCATATTAGACTAGGACTATATTATTCGTGTTAGACTAGGACTCTATATAGTATCTATATATTCGCTATATGTACTCTCAGACATTACTACTGAATACAACACTTTTACATACACTCTCATCGTCACGTCGTTTGTCCTAAATTGACAACCTAGTAATTCGATTAACCTCATAGTTGAAATTTCAGCAAAGCCAATTGGGATCTCTCAATTTACGCTAATTCCAAAGAAAGAGTTGCTCAAGTTTTAGTTTATGGTGTTGGAACAGAACTATTAAACACATTTAGAGTTTTACTTAATTTTTTTGACAAATTTTTCACTTTAAGTCATTGACTATTGTGACATTGCCACATTTAATCAACATTATTCAATATGAGGAATTCACCACTAATCCATTGGGTTTTTTTAAATAGGTATCAAATTCATAAATAAATTTAGTTTTCACAAAATATTATTTGATTCCCTCTAAACCATACACTATAATAGTTCTTTCATACATGTTTGTATAATCAATAAGGTACTAGGCAAGTATTATGAGTGGAGGGAAAAGAGAAAACAATATAGTTTGTGTATATAGTTCTCAACATGAATTTGTAACTCGGTCCATCTCAAACTATAGTGAGAAAACCGTGCCAAAAAAATCCCAAAATTTTCTCCTCCCTATTCATTCAATCTGTGTTAATACATCGTTACATGAATGGAAAACCTTTCTAGCATTTATCCTATGCTAATCTTTAAAAAATAAGATAAATTTACAACAGGAAAATTGATTTAAGAAACAGCATTGCATGCCACACTGAACACATACTTTATATCGCCACAAAGGCAACCATTTTGTACACATTCTGCTTCGTGGCAGTGCTGATGATGACCCCTTTTTGATATTTGTTCGGATGAGTGGAAGAGCAGCTCACTGATAAGTGGGGATCCGAACTCTCAGTCCGATCCTTTGGCCTATGTTGGCTGCCGAAGCATCCGTTGAAGCTGAAGGACCTGTTGTCGCTGATCCGGGGGCAATGAGTTTAACTGTTCTGGCGTGAGACTCATCACTTGCTGCAATAAGGCAGACTCTACATCTGGGATTATCTGCAGGTGTGAAAATTGATTCAGGATTAATGGAAATCAAATGGGACCTTAAGAACAATATACTAAACTGTTTGAAACACAACAAATAATACACTAGTCGTATAAGTAATTCACTTGCATTTGATGGATATAAAACACTCGCAATAATAATAATAATAACAGCAGTTCTTAAGATGTATGCAATACAGGAATGTTTATTAAAGCTTACCTGAAGAGCATGCTTCTCAGAACTAGAAGCCTCTTCTGTTCCGGAAATTTGATTTCCAGATAAGCTAGCTGACCTTGAAGGCCTTGTTACCAAGGTGCCAACATTTAATTCAGCTGCTGAATAGGAACTCCTTCCATCATTTAGTTTTGACAACTTTGATGGGCGATGATTCATCACATCTATACTATCATTTGGGGCTCTAGCTCTCTCTGCCAAACCTGACGTGGGAATTGTTTTATTGACCCAAGCAGAATTGTTAGCAACAATCTGGGTTTCAAGACGACCCTTAATAATGTTGTCCAGAGGAGTAGACAATGCCGAAGAGCTTGGCTGTTTATACAAAAAAAGATAATAAAAAACATCTTCCACATATTGTCAAAAGAATAAAAAACCCAATGAAGAAATAAAAACCCCGTGAAGACCAAAATTTCAAGCATGAAACGTGCATACAAATAAATAAAATAAACTCTTCAAGTTAGGTAGGCATCTTTATTATTTTGCACGTTCTGCCTCAAATTACTTCTCATATGAACATTAAATTCCCATAATTAAGTAAGTTAGATTTACCTCTTCCTCTTACAGGAAGTAATCAATATTTCCATTGAAGTATCCAAAAATAAATGTTGAAGATATTAAAAACTTAAACCCATTTACTTGACTGGCTAATTCTTCTGCCTTGCTTGTATGATTTCATCATCTAAGTTTCATTGTTTAAGAATAAACACAATTCCATTCTAAAGTAGTAACCTTTAGTTATATGATTGGAATCTTTAGTATTTGATTACAAGTGGGTCAGCAATTTCATGGGCGCCCAATAAATATAAGTCACATCAGGACGGGAAAAAAGCATTTTCCATTATGAATAAGTATGAAATTGGTTAACACTCCAATGAACTCCAGTTAATAACATAGTAGTTGCACAGATAAATGTATTACCTTAAGGCTTAGTCAATAAAGAATGTTACCCTAAATGGTTATACATATGTTTTTTTAAGAGTTCCATTAAAAGGTACTACCACCACATTGATACCACCAGGGAGTGTTCGAACTGCTAGCTGTTGATTGCGATGATTGTGGCAATATGGAATGAGGTGGAGGAACAGAGGACTGCCGAATATTAGGCATCTGTAACTGCAAATTTGAAAGATCATTAAATACAGTATGATAATAATCACATGTCCAGGGTAAAAAAGTTATAGCAAACAAAAAGGAAAAAAAGAAAGTTGAGCCAATAGAATACAACAGAGATTCGACAGCACAAACCATTTGAGGAGTAACCAATCCCAGCATTAGTTGTGCCTGCAATGCAAGTAAGAGACAAACTTGCTAAGGATCGGATGTGAAAACACACGAAATGACTATGCTGCTGCCATATAAGAACACACTCATACAAGTAATAATAATTGTAAGCTGGTCATACTGCCAATAGACGTGCAGACCAATGAAATATTTTGAAGCAATTTTACATTACCAACTGTGAAAGGAATTTCAAGGCACCATAACACAGATCAATTTCCAAAAAAGCAGCATAGCATATGAAAAATACATTTGATTCTATGCATATGATATAGCTAGACAAGGGGAAGAATATAAAGGAGCTTATGCATGTTGTCCGCACGGGCTAGCTTAATAGTTCAGTAGGCAGTATTTGGGAGAAAAGACCAATGTTTGATAGTTCCTTGTGCGGACAGGCATTTGGGAGAAGCTAATGCAGCTACGTTGAAGTTAAAGAGAATTCATCACTATTAATATTGTTGATCAGATATCAAAATATTTTTACAATTCTTAAATCCATATATCTAGCAAGCCTTAAATCCAGCAGATTATGTTGTTCATTCCTAGAAGCAGCTCGGCCTGCAATATAATACAACACAATAATATATATAGTAATTAAAATTTGCAGCTGAAGAACGTACCTGTGAACCAGAAACCATTTCAAACGCCAAAAACAGCCACAACTAACAACCATCTGCTCTGATCTTCCCACACCCTTCTTTTGTTGCAATTAATTAGCAGCATTAGAGTCTTTCTTTGCTATAGCTTTGCATCATCTACTCCTCATCTTCATCAAACTCGCCAAGCTTCATCGGAGTCATCTTCAAGCTAGCTAGAGAGTGAGGATGTCATGAATCAATAAAACAAATTAGGATGTGATGAAACTAATAAATGAAGTTGGGAGAAAAATTAAAGGAATTGAGAAAAAGAAATGGAGACCTGTCCTGTGTTTATCTCAATGACAACCATATTCTCATTTCCATAGTCATGCTGTTCAGCCTCAATTTGCTTGGCTGACATCACTGCAGAAGGATGACACCTCTCTAAGTGGATTAAGTTCAATGTTGGAATTTCTGCTAAGCTATTCGGGATCTCTCTCAATTTATAGCATTTGTTAAGGAATAGGCGCTCAAGTTTTGGAAAATTATCAGCACCAACTTCCCAATGGTTGAGTTTACCAGACGAAATTCCCAAATAAATTAAGTGGCAGAATTTCACATTCTCTGGTACTTCCCACTTTTTGCCAAGGTCAGCATACGTTAACTTGAGCACCTCAAGTCTTGGTAACTTGCTCAAAACGTTAATTGCACTCCACTCAAATTTCACAAAATCAAACCTCAGCTTCCTAATGTTTTTCAAGAGAAGAATATTGTTAATGATATCCCGAAAATGTTTCGACGCAAAGAGACAAACTCTCGAGCTGCTGTAAACAGACAAGGTTCTTACTGCATTCATGGGTTATGCCCATAATAGTTACCTTCTTTAGGTATGGAACTTTTCTTACGAACTCTTGGTCGCAATGACTAGGCTGCAAACTAGAAATGACCTGTAAGTTTTGATGAACAAATTTGGGAAAAGATCCATAAAATTTACTACAGCGAATATACTGTAGTTGTGGAAACTTCAAATGGTTCAATTGTATATGTTCACACACACAAAATGTTTGAAGATTCCAAGAGTTGGAGAATAATGCCCTGGATGTTGGTAGGTATCTCAAATGGATATGAACAGTCGGACTTGGCAAAGAGAAATCAGTAACATACAGTACCCTCAATAAGCTGAAAAATTCCAAAATTATTGAATCTATGGGTGACAGCGAAAAATGAAAGATGGACCGGCAGTGTTTTGGCAGAGAATGTAACGCAGAGATGTCAAAATCTTCAAATGACACCCTTTGGATTCTTATCCAACGCACACCTTTCTTAGGGAAATTAAAACCACTTTCATCTGCAACATGCAAAAGACTCTGGTTTCGACCTTCTCTTACACAAAAGGCATGCAATAAATCATGTACTCTAAACTTCTTAATTTTTCTTCCACAACAACTTCTTTTGCTTACAAGAATTAAGTTTCTATCCATAAGTTCATTTATGTACCTTTTAGCCACCACTTCAACACTCTCATTCTTGAATGCCTTTACAAGTCCTTCAGCAGCCCATAACCTTGCAAGGTTGTTAGCATTGATCTTATAATCTTCTGGAAAAACTCCTAAATATATAAAACAAACTTTCAAATTATGGGGCAAGTGACTATAACTCAATGAGATGATTCTCCAACATTCTTCATCATCTAGACTTGATGTTGAAGAACTTATTAGAGCATTAGCAGTATTCTTCCACTCATATAGTGTATTGAGTTTTGAAAATAAACCTGCTATCACAACAATTGTCAAAGGCAATCCTTTACATTTCTCGACAATTTGTCTCCCAATTCTCTCAAATTCAACACCGTGAGATTTGCATGCCTTTTTATGAAATAATTCCCAACTTTCACTTTCATCTAATAAGTGCATTTGATGGGAGAAGTAATTGTTAGAGCCAATACAAGTAGCCACCTCTGCAATGCGTGTAGTCAACAATACTCGACTCCCATTTATATCATCTGGAAAGCAAGTGTTAACATCATTCCATGACTCTCTACTCCACACATCATCCATCACTACCAAATACCTTTGACCCTTCAAACTTTGGTAGAGCTGTAATGCTAGGTCCTCATCACTACTGTTGTTTACATTGTCTTTAGAACCAAGAAGACCTAAGAGCATTTGCCTCTTATTGTGATGTTGTGATACAACAACCCATAGTCTTCTGTCAAAGTGGGAGACAGTTGATGGATATTCATAAACTCGTCTAGCTAACGTTGTCTTGCCGATTCCTCCCATACCTTGAATTGAGACAACTTCTCGTTGTTTAGATAGATGTTGTATTAACATCTTCCTTATAATCTCGAACTCGTTGTTTTTCCCGACCATTATGTTCTCAGTGTGTGAAGCATGATTGGAGGAACTGGAACCGTCCATCTTGACAAGTGTAGTCTCCCTTCCTTGCACAGCTATCATGAGTTTCTCCAGCTCTTCTTTAATGGAATCAATGTCTTCTATTGCTTGTTGCAATACATGACTAAGTCTATGAGAATGCTGGGTTTTTTTGGCTTCAGTGTCCCATCGTCTCTTTTTCTTGTTAGCTTCTTTATAGAGATGTACCACATGGAGTTCAATTTCATCTTCTACTCTGAAAGCTACATCTCTGAGCTTTGTTTCCAACTCTTTAATTGCTTCAACACCATCCATTCTGAACTCGTCCAACAGTTGTATCAGAAAACCAAGCTTTTCATGGAGAGATTGGATGAGGTCTTTGTTAAAAGGGATGAGTTCCATTTCTTGTAGGATTGGACGAGGCTCAGGTTGCAAGAACTCAAGCTCTAATGTCCTGATAAGAGAATTTACAGCTACACAAGCCATTCTTCTCGATCTCTCAATCTCTATCTCTCTCTCTCTGTTGGTGTAGGTGTGAAGATTAGCAGAAGCAAGATGAGTGGAATTGGGTAATGTGAAAGACCATTGACATGAGTGATTGGAGATTGGAGAAATCTGAGCTTTTTGTGGAGAGATTGGAGAATGGAGGTGTTTGTTGCAAGAGATGAGTGGGTCAGCAGAATTGCAACTTGCCAACTTGTAATATAATTAAATGGGTGAATTTTTTATGTGCCATATGTGTTAGTTGTCCATGTGCAATTAAACAATTAAACCCACAGACTTTTTATGGGCAAATTATACCGTGCACTAGGGCGCACATTGCATTGTGCGTTATGACCCAAAATAATGTTTTTTTGGATCTTTTTGTGTCTGTTATTAACTTCTTAAAAAAAAATTCATGTTTTGAATGTACAGAATTGTATAATAGAATACACAGAATTTTATACCTAAAAACACAGAATTTTATAACTGAAAATTCCCATGTTTTGAATGTACATAATTATATATAGAATGCACAGAATTTTATACCTGAAAACACAGAATTTTATACCTGAAAACACAAAATTTTATAACTGGAAATTCTCATGTTTCGAATGTACAGAATTATATAATAGAATGCATAGAATTTTCTACCTGAAAACACATAATTTTATAACTGAATACACATAATCTTTTTTAAAAGGATAAAAATCTCATGTTTCGAATATACAGAATTGTATAACAAAATGTACAGAATTTTATAATAGAATACAAAACGGCGTCGTTTTGGGAGGCGCGGGTTGCACATTGCTATGTGCGTCCTGGTGCACGGTATAACGATTGCTTTTTATGGCTTGTACCCACCAAGGCAACTCTCTCAATGCTAAACCAATACTATGAGTTAATTAAATAAGGAAAAATTGTAATTTATACCCCTCACAAACATCTCAATTATCAATGTCACTCGTGAAATAGTGTAAATGTTGTTCCTCAATTTTTAAAACCTGACATATATCGCCATTCCCCTAATAGGAAGAATGAGAAACGTTGTTGTTGGCGGAAGAAGAACAAATGAAAAAAAAAATAGAGAAAAAAAAAATGATCATTTGTATTCTTCGTGTAATTACAATGGTATTTTATGGTAATCCCTCTCTCTCTCTCTCCCTCTATATATATATATATATATATATATATATATATATATATATATATATATATATATATATAGTGAAGACAAAAAAGTATTATCGCACAATATTAGTATAATTATCAAATAATAATTATGGTAATTAAGGAATTAATTGCACATATATTAGTATCATTGACTAATAATTATTATGTTAATTAAGTTAATAATGACACGGATATATTAGTATAATTACAATTAAAAATGGATCAATTTTTTTTATATAATAATTACAATTAATTCATTCAAATATGGAATTAAAATATGGAGGGAGGAGGAAAAAAGTAAAGGCCATATACGGTGAAAAGGAATATACTTAAGATATAAAAATTTAATTGCACAGATATGAATATAATTGTTTAATAATAATTTTCAATAATTATAATGGTAATTAAGCTAAACATGGGTCGTTGAATTTATTTTTATAATAATTATAATTAAATTATTTCTCATATGTTTTCATATTTATTTTAGTATTAATATAATTACATAAATCATATTGAATATCGATTTTTTAAAGATAATTGTAGACAAACAAGTCATATATTATTCAATTATTTGAGTAATACTTTTGCACTAATCTTTTAACCAAATAAATGCACGCTTTCAAATATTAGAATTGTTTAAAATTTCATCTTTAGTTTTATTATCTAACAATATAAATAATATAACAAAAAATTTTATATGTGGATCGCACGGGTAATTGGGCAATTATTTGCTCGAATTCAGACAAGAATAACATTCGAAAACATAATCAATCCAATTCATTTCATCAATTGCACTATATAATATTCGTTGTTATAATTTATATAATTGTATATCGATTCAAATATTCTTAAAATATTAGAACAAATTCATTTCGTGCCACGCACATATGAAAATACTAGTATTCTTAACCGTTACCTTCTGACTCTTCTTTATTGCCTCACCCTTTTCTATGATCCTCAATCATGTCATGAATCATTGAATTTAAATTTGCTTAGCACAAGTAGAAAAAATGTAATTGAGGAAGAGAAAAGGCAAAATACATGTAATGTATATTTCTCAATAGCAACTATATTGTAGTTTTCATAGTCACTATTAGGACTATATTATTCATATTAGACTAGGACTATATTATTCGTGTTAGACTAGGACTCTATCTAGTATCTATATATTCGCTCTCTGTAGCCTCAGACATTACTACTGAATACAACACTTTTACATACTCTCATCTGGTATCAGCTTCCAGGTTTTTCTCTCATGGATGGTCTCGGTCTCCCTGATGATGGCTGTGTTCGATCTTCTGAACGGACTGTTACCAAGACCTCCCCTGTGCCCACCGGGAACAGCCTCGATGCTCATCACTTTGTCTATTTGAAACTGACCTCTCGTAATTATCTTTTTTGGCGAACACAAATGTTGTCATTCCTAGAGGGTCAGGGTCTTCTTGGTTTCATCGATGGTAGTATACCATATCCGGTCGCAGCACCGGTCACCACCGCCGACGCCGTTGCCTAAACCGCTGACAGCCTAGCAGCGACAGGTGAGCTCGTAGCCCGGCAGGTGGCTTGGAGGAGGCAAGACAAGGCCATATTGTCTCTCTTAATTTCGTCCCTTTCAGAGGAGACAATGCGGTTCGCCGTTGGTCGTTCTACTTCGCGGCAACTCTCGCTTCTTCCTCGCGTTCTCGGGCGTTGCGGTTGTTCGGTGAGTTGCAAGCTCTTCGGTAGGGTGACTCTTCCATAGCAGATTATATTGGTTGTGCACAACTTTTGATTGATGATCTCGCTCTTGCCGGTCATGATGTTACGTTAGACGATCAGAACTTGTACGTCTTTCGTGGCTTATGGTCTGAATTTCTTCCGTTTGTGGCAACCCTATCTCGAGGTACTGCGGTTCCGCTTGCGGAGGTGGCGGATTTCTTGGTGTCGCAGGAGTGGATCTACGCTAACAATGGAGTCGACGGTGTATCGCCGATTGCGATGGCCGCTGGTCGTGGCGGTCCGGCTTTTGGCTGTGGCAGTGCGACGCAACAGCAAGGTCCTGGTTGGGGCTCAGGCGGCAGGTGTGGCTCGAGCACGGGACCACGGTGCCAGATCTGTGACAAACAAAGACACGGGGCCCTCTGGTGTTAATATTGTTTCTCGACCTGTAACACCCCAGATTTTCAAGAAATTTAAAACTTATAGAATAAGGGTGAAATCCCATTAAATCCCAAAACATAATACAAGAGTATGGGGTGCTATGCCACACCTGGGCTAGAGAACCCAGGTGCACAGGCAGTCTAACTAATATCCATTGAAACATAATGCATAACATGGCACGCAGGCCGATAGGGAAACTACTCTACTTCTACGCTCCAGTTCTAGCGCGCTCCAGTGCTCTAGTCATCTGTGCCTGAAAGCCAAATATATCTGTTCAGCGAGAGATGCTGGTAACCCACTTCAACGCGTTGAAATACAATACATATAGAGATACATATATATAGATATACAAAAACCATTTGAGCATGAAGATATATCCTACGAACTCTAGCTTTAAAACCGGGAATGACTCGACAGATAAGACCAGACACGAGCAACAGTCATAACGCGCATATGCAGTTCACAACAGATAAGGCAGTTAAGGTAAGGCATAGACAATAATCATAACCCAATATGAACAATCCCCAATATAAAACCCATAGTCACATCCCCAAGATACTCATAATAACAACTCATCCATATCTCATCACATAGCACACTTTGTTGGCGCCACAGGACCAATCGCATGCCCATACATGAGGGTCAGCGCATATAGCTCTGACACGGCCCCGCAGCACCCTGCCCCGTATCCACACGGAGGAGTCATCGCTTTGGCTCCCAATGAACCAAGCCCATAAGGACGTGCACTCTGACTGTAGCCAGGAAACCCATCTGACTACAGCCGGCCTCCGAACCCTTTGTTCAGGAGGTGTCGTCTGATTGCAGCCAGGAATACCCATCTAACTACAACCAGCTTCTGGGCCGCTGCCCAGGATAACGTCACCTGACTGCAGCCAGGAAACCCATCTGACTACAGCCAGCCTCCGAACCCTCTGTTCGGGATGACCAATCCGATCCTTTACCGAATTGGCCCCACGCACACATAACACATAGCAAACACATGCAACCCACATTACACGTTGGGAAGGGGAATATGTAACACCCCAGATTTTCAAGACTTTTAAAACTTATAATAAAGATAGAATCTTATTAAATCCCAAGATATAAATACAAGCGTACGGGGTGCTATGCCACACCTGGGCTAGAGAACCCAAGTGCACAGGCTAACTAACTAATATCCTCAAAACGTAATTACATAAACGTGGCACGCAGGCCAAAGGAAACTATCTACTTCTACACTCCAAGTTCTAGCGCGCTCCAGTGACT